TTCCTTCATGTTTTTGATTTCTCAAGCACAACTCCTGTTAAGATATAACTGAACTTGTACATTACATTTCCTTGTAGTTTTAATACTTTTTTTTTTTGTCCGGCATTACCACCAGACAGATATTTTCTTAGATATTTTTGTAATTTCTCAAGACGTCCGCTATTGATTTGGTTTGTCTTTATCTGTAATGTAATTAGTTAAGGGATTCATAGACCCCAGTCAGCGTGATCCAGTGTGGTTTCAGAGGCTACAGTCCAGATTGTTAGCCTGCCTGGTCCCAGATCTGTTTGTGCTATCACGTCAACAACTTCTTGCCATGCCAAACAGGATAGCACAAACAGATCTGGGACCAGGCTAACACATTGTGGATAAAGATTTGTTCTACAGTGTATATAGGCCTACGTCTAGCTATGTACAATGCATAACTGTAGTGTATACTCTAAGCTAATTACTTCTCATGTCGTTTCGGTGAGCTTTTATTGCTTTTCATGATAGACTCAGGTCTCATTGGAAAATACATGTTCATCTCAATATGATCTCCTGAATAAATGAAGGATAAATACAGTAGTATACCTCCTTACTACGGTATGTGTGTTGTTGTAAACCTGATGATCAATTCAGGACATTTAAATGAACAACTTCCTACATATATCCAGTAGATGGCGGTATAGACTATGCGTGTTCTGTTTAATCAACGGGAGCAGCAGGCATGCTGCACAACAGACAGTTCAGACAAAGAGCAACACAACACACAAGTAACTATTGAGGAGTATTTATTTAAAATGTATATTTTAGGAACTTACAACAACATATTGGACATGGAAGAACATTAAACACTCAAACTACTGCATCCATGTCACCATCTAAAAAACAATACAAATGTGAATATCTCTTATCTTTCATTAATCCCCTCAGAACTGTTCCCCTCAGAACTGTTCCCCTCAGAACTGTTCCCCTCAGAACTGTTCCGGTCCCAGAGATCCGTAGTTCTAATACCTGCGTATCCATGGAAACCGAGGTAACAACGCGCGGCCCCTGTTCCACAATGACACTGCCTTCTTTGCAGCATCAGACGCTTTCTGGTCCTTTTCCTCCTGTTTGGCTTCCAGACTGCTGGTGGTGGTGGAGGGTAGGGCCTTGCTGGGAGAACTTGTAGCCCCACGGCGGCTCTCTCCTGTGGGTTCCTCAAGCACGGCGGTGGTACTCATAATAACCCCTTCTCTGGTGCAGTTGGTGGGGGTCAGAGTAGTGGTGATGTTATTGTTGTTGTCACTGGGGTCAAATAGAACCATGACAGTGGAGTTAACATGGACAGAGCTGACCGTGCTTTCAGCAGAGGGTACCATGGAGACGATGCTGCCGTTTCCCTGACCAGTCCTTCTAACTTCAGTTGGGACTTCAATGTCTGCTGTGCTGTTACCCTGGTGACCTGTCTTACTGGTACTGACTCCAGCAGAGCCCCAATCATCGTCAGTGTTTTTAACGACGACGACGGGGGGAGCCGTGGTGGAGGGATGGTGACTGGCGGGGGTGTTACCATAGATACAGCTGCTCTTCTCCTCCTCTTCCTTTTCCTCCAACCCAGAGCCTAGTACCGCTAGTTTAGCATCATCAGCAGATTGGAGGTGGTCACTGTCAGGTTCAAGAGGAGAGGAGGAGGAGGAGGAGGAGGATGAAGAGTGGGCAGCTATTTCACTGCTGGCTACATTCACATAGTGGTTAGAGTCACTAGGTTCAGAGTCAATAGAGTCTATGTATTTCAGCACAACAGTTGACTTTGTGGTGCTTTCATCAGAATCCACAGACTCAACAGGATGATAGCCAATCATAGGAGACGCAATAGGAAGCACTTCCTGGTTCTCGTTCTCGCCACTCCGCTCCACGCTGGTACTAGTAACCGTAGGTGACGTCGTTCCTTCAACTCCGCTGGTAACAGTACTCTGGTAGTCATTGGTCGCTTCAATGGAATCTTCATATTCAGTGTAGCCAATGGCGGAAGAGGAAAGGGTAACAGCTTCCTGACTTTCATTGTGAGCATTTGCGTCTTCTCTTATGAAGTCCATTTGATTGCTGAAGCCCCTAATAGCAACTGAGGACGAGTAGTTAGCCCCAGCACTAACATTATAGTCACCTGTTGCCACAGAGTCATAAGCCTGATCAATATCGTCGATCAGAGGGGCTGAGAGTGAAGCATCCTGGGTAGTATTAAGATGGCCACTGGCTTCTTCCTCCTCCTCCTCCAGGCCCAGCATCAAGTCTGTGGGCGGCTCAGCCAGCGCTGCCGCCTCAGTAACTACTGCACTAGTATCTACTGTGACAGTAACGTTACTGTTGTTATGATGTAAACTAACATTTGTGTTGCCAAGGTCATCAGTGAAAGAGACAGAATCTGTCTGATGAGTGTCGAAGTCAATGACGTCAGGGGCTGACATAGGATCAACGTTCAGATCAGCTAACGGATCACTTGTTTCCAGCACCACAACAGATCCATTCGGATGAGGATAGTCCTCCACAGTCACAGAGAGATCTTCAGGGTGGCCACTAGCGTTGCTCTGGCTAGTGTTGGTTCCATCAAGAGAGTTGTTTAGCTCAACATAAGAAATAGCAGAAGAGGAGGAAGGTGTAACGTCACTGCTGTTATTCCAACCACTAGCGGTCGCCATTTTAGTTTCGTTGTCTATCTGTTCAGTGTAGCCAATATCGGGGGCTGATGATGATGATGATGATTGATCATTGATAAGTTCACTGGCATTCCGGCTGGCATTGAATTTGAGACCACCACTTGGAGAAGTTGTGGATATTGAGTCAAAGTGGTCACTATTGCCAATGGTTGAAAATACAGATGGATCAATAATATCTTGATGGGATGGTGTGTTGTGCTGGTCTTTGGATGCTGCTGCTGTGGGATTGTGGTGAGTTTGGATCAGAAGATGTGATGGGGAAGGAGTGAGGGAATCTTGGCTTGTTGAGAGGTCTCCCTGTGGCTCCACGGTGTAAGCAGCAGGGCTGATGGGTGCTGCTGGGAATGGGATGTACCTCAGGGATCCTACAGGAGAGGAGCGGAGAGGAGCAACAGCGGGCTGAGAATAATCATCTTGAGCCATACTCTGACTAGGCAAGAATACAGAATATCTGGCTAAGTAGTGGCTAAGGAGCTGTAGTGTAGCAAGTACAACATCAATGTCAATGATCTACATCTAATCTAGTACACAACGTTAACGTTACATCATTGACACAACATAGGCTATTGTTTGTGATTGTTGACACAATATATTATTAGCTATATTGTGTTTGGGTGATCATTTATAGAGCGGTGTTTGTGTAATAATTTATGGCCAATAGAAGCGTCATCATTTCCACACAATTCAATTGCAATAATAACTGGTATTTTATTCGATCTAATTTGACAGCTCTCTTTTTCAAACAATCACAGCTAACGTTACTCGTTAGTCTAGCAAGCCTGAGTGTGACACTTAGCATAGCTAAAGGTTATTTGATAGCTCTAGCTAGCTAACGTTACGTTGGCAAATGTTGCTAGCCAATTAATACCGGAATTAATAAGTTATTTACCTTCATGAAATAGCAATAAGAGGACGCAGAGTATGAAATGACGACGGCAACTCATCATCGCTGGTCAAATCAACGGAGATATTATTAGCAGAATTTGTAAAATTATCAACTGAATCAGTTTAGCTACTGTATAATTTTCTCGAATGGAAAATACTTTTTATTTGAATGTGCCAATGAAATCAAAGAAATATAACATTTTGCATTTTTATTGGTTACTTCAAGGATTGTAAATGCTGTAGCAACAGTCGCTAGGCGCTGTCCGTGACGCGACATGGCTGGATGTATTTCATCTGTCATCTTTCATAGCGTTATACAGCTGACCAAAAACTTTATTTTCTTAAGAGGATGAAGAAAGATGCAAACAAAATATATTTGACAAATTATCTTATTGTAAAGCATATTTTATTTTAGGACAAGATGGCAAAAGTTAAACAAAGGATAGATTTTTAAACAAAATATAAAATTTTAGTCATTTACGTACAATATAGAAAAAATTTTTTCTCCACTAGCTCAGTATAGCTCTCATATGATTCTGAGCTTGACTTCAATGCTGCAAGAGAGATATTGGATATTATGATTTAGGCCAATAATTCACAATAAATAAACTCTTTGGTAAAATATTATTGAGAGATTACCCAGAAAAGTGTGCAAAGTGATCCAATAAATTATACTTTTTATTAATAAATAATGTATTAAATGTGTTTGTGTGCTACCTCCTTTTAGACAACATCAGAGGACCAACGTTTGAGACCGTTATTTTGTGCCCTCATGTCCCCCATGGTTAGTTAATTTCATGTTTTGAAAACATTCTCCTTTTATGAAACAAACGTAACACACTTTGGATATGTTCAATAGGCACATGGCCTCCTGTACCAGGCTTCGCCATTCTAAAGTCCACAATGAAAACACAACAATCTCTCTGCCGCTCTCTCTCTCTCTCTCTCTCTCTCATACACACATGGTCGTCAAGGAGTTCACAGTCACACCTCTCAAACATATCCTTCAGGTTGTGCAACACTGAAACCATCCTACAGATAGTCCTCCAGAGAGGTTGAACCTCACCCTGTGAGGAAGTATTAAACCCAAATGGCACCCCATTCCCTATTTAGTCACTAGTACAATAGTGTGCCATTTGGAATTCAGAATAAGACTGAGTTGAACGGGGTGTACTTCCTGGTGTTAATCAGGTGCTGTTCATATTGATCACTGATAAACCAGTATGTACTAGATCAATATCACTGATTGATTGATCAATCGAGCCATACATTGGAGGTGAACACAGGTCATTTGCGTTGAGTTGAGAACACAAATGGAACACTCTGTCCAAGCCAACCTCAATCTCAAATTACAATATGGGCGTTACATAATCTGATTGGAACAATTGCAGTTTACAGATTAGATGAACAGGTTTGTGCCGTTTGTGAATCCTTCTATCTGTGTTCTGCTAATGCTGAGGCATGGTGCATTTCCTTTGATGGTGATGATGATGATGATGATGAGTCAGGTGTGAGCGTCACGCTGTACAGGTTAGTGATGAAGGTCTCCCACCCTCGACGGAACACTCGGTCGAAAGTCTGAAGGGGATAGAATTAATAATCAGTCATCAATACAGGTGACCAGAAAACATTGTTTGATTGATATTGATAAAAACATTGTTAACAAATGTGGTCACAAAAGAAAACGTTTGAATTGGAACATGATCCAGTCAAGACCAGAACAAGATAACTTGGTACATTTACATTTACATTTTAGTCATTTAGCAGACGCTCTTATCCAGAGCGACTTACAGGAGCAATTAGGGTTAAGTGCCTTGCTTAAGGGCACATCGACAGATTTTTCACCTAGTCAGCTTGGGGATTAGAACCAGCGACCTTTCGGTTACTGGCACAACGCTCTTACCCACTAAGCTACCTGCCGCCCCGTCCCAGTTTATGTGTTCAGAGTGGATGTGTATCATTATTAATTTGATGCAGTTATAAATTATGTTGTGTTCTTCCTGGTGTCTCTCTTATGACATGACCCCTGACCTCTGTGTAATCAGAAAGGAATGTTGGCCTGGTGGTTGATCGCTAGTGGAATGTTAAGAGGTGGGTTTAGAGGAGGTGGGGCTATACACACACTGCCCTCAAACAACGATCTGGGGTCAGATAGTAAGGCAGAGGAATGTCACCTGTGTGTGTGTGTGTGTGTGTGTGTGTGTGTGTGTGTGTGTGTGTTCTCCCCGCTGATGTCCCCTTGAGTCAAGGTCGGTGACCAAGAGCACAGAGGAACGAAAGCGTATCTTGTCAGTCCATCACTGCCCCCCTCTACAGCAAACAGAGAGCAAGATAACAAAACAACAGTCAGGGGAAGAAAGAGAGAGACGCCAGGGTTGTTCCTAAAACATTAGTGAGGAGATATGGAGGAAGGGGGGAGGAGGGGGAGGAGAGGGGGATGGATTCATAAAGCAAACAGACAACATGTTAGGGTTAGGGAGGGGAAGGGAGGAGAGGAGAGGAGAGGGAGGGTCGCAGGTGGGGAGATAACAGGTGTGTCACCTGATACTAGCTAAGGAGTTGTCCTGGGACTATTACTATAGCGATAATATTACTATAGCGATAACATTACCATAGCGATAATATTACTATAGTAATGTTACTATAGCGATAATATTACTATAGCGATAACATTACCATAGCGATAATATTACTATAGTAATGTTCCTATAGCGATAATATCTGTCTTTGTTTTTGGCACATTAGGCCTAACTGTCTGTCAAATGAATAAAATAAGAAATAGATTTTAAAATGGCCTACAGAGTTAACTTAGCATCTGAGCTCATGGGCTGAGTGACGTACACAGATCATTCATTGGAATCTGACCAGATCGTTAATAATATGGCCATAAAGGGTCATATAAATGTTTCCATAACTGATTAATTACTGGCTGCTGTTCTTAGAATGTACCTGTGGAACATGGAACTTTAATTAATTGTTCCTCTCTCTGGGAGAATTCCACGGCGGGGGCGGCGTTGGGGGGGATATGTGTTAAGTAATCCATGTCCTCTCTCTGTTAATTAAATTGGAACTAGGCAGGAAGGGTAAACCTGGATACTGCTGCTGCTGCTACAACAATAACAAGTGGAGGTTTTCCAAGGGTACCTGGAAGGCACCACACACACTACCATCCTCTCTCGTTCTCTCTCTCTTTCTCGCTCTCTCTCACCTTGCGGTAGTTCTTCAGCATGCTCCTCTTCCTCATCACCTTCATCTCCTCCTGTCCCTTCATCTTCCTCTCCTCCTCCTCCTCTTCTTCCCTCCCTCTCTTCTTGTCCTTTATCAGAACCTGGTCATCCGCCTCTTCTCGGATCGCAAAGTGGACCAGCATCCTCTCCTCTTCCATTCTCCTCTCTTTCTCCCTCTGTCCTTCTTCAGTCTCTACCCTCACCTCCACCTCCAGGACCTCCAGGACAGGGGTCTGCGTCTCCATCTCCGTACCCAGGATCGGGCCTTCTTCCGTGGGGGAGACCGTCTGGGGCTCAGCCTCCTGTTTCTTCCTGGTGCTCCTCCTCCAGCGGCTCCTCCTCACTTCCACCGCGGTGACCTCCAGGACAGGGGCCTCCATTTCCGTACCCAGGATCGGGTCCTCCTCCCTGGGGGAGATCGCCTGGGGTTGGGCCTTTCTGGAGCTTCTTCTCCAGCGGGAGCTAAGCCGGCTGGGTTTCCTTCGGAGGAGAGTGGTGTCATCGTCTTCCATCATTCCCTGGTTAAAGTCAAACACCCCATGCTCTCCCTGGTCCGTCTCTCCCCCCGTAGAGAGCTCTGTGGCTGGGCACGATCCCCCGCAGTCCCCTTCTCTCCGCCTCTCCTCCCCCTCTCCTCCCATCTCGGGCTCGTCCAGGCGACCGTAGAACCCAGAACTCTTGTCCAGGAACTTTGGGGCCCTGACGGAACTCTTTCCGGAACTCTTTCCGTTCACCATCTTTTCTTCTTCTCTTCTTCTTCTCTTCTCTTCTCTTCTCTTTCTTTTGTCTCTCTCCTTCGCGATGCGACGTAGCTCTCTGTTGTTGTTTTTATGTCTTTAAAGCTGGGCGGTGAGAAAGGAGGGAGAGAGAAAGAAAGGGATTAATGTCTTCATGTAGTTCTTCCAGATAAATGATCTCATACTCATTCTCTGTACTAGAGAATTCCATAGACAGCTTACACACACACACACACACACATACACACACATACAAACACACACACACACACAGCAGAGGTTGTGTATGGGGTGATTTTGATTCAGTATGAAATAAGAAAGAAGAAGCATTGTGCTGGATGAGATACAACAGTAATGTGTTAGATAATATTCCCTCAACGCTACAGTACTTTATTTCTCTGTGTGTTCATCTGTCATTCCATCTGTCACTCCATCTCATCATCTCATCTAGGTGACATAGAGTTCACTATGTGTGTGTGTGTGTTTGTGTCAGTAGCTGTGCGTCTGTGCGCGCAAGTACGTGCCACCTGTGTGTGTTCAATTTATGATGGTGATAACAGAGACTCCTGGTTCCAGCCTCACTCAGACTTTGACTCTTTACTCTCTCGTTGGAGCCTCAAACACTGCCAGCTTCTACAGTGTGTCCCAAATTGCACCCTATTCCCTATGTAGTGCACTACTTTTGACCAGAACCCAATGGGCCCCGGTCAAAAGTAGTGCACTACATAGGGAATAAGGGTGCCATTTGGAATGTACACCTATGAGTCACATCATGACTATCTCCATGACAACCGTTTATAACTGTATATCCATGTCGATGTTAATTAACTCAGACTGTTGTCAAACCATTTCATATGAAAACTCAAAGTCATAGATATCTAAAACAGTAGCTAAACGTTTCCTTCTGGTAACAGGTAACTGTAACATGTGAACCATTTGATTGGTTAGAGATGTACACATCTACTGTGGATTTTTGTCAAGTTCACTAATATTGGTTTAGCATTGTGGTAAATCAGAACTCCAACACATTACTCAGTCAGACAACGTAACAGCATTTATACATAACTAACATACTTTAGTGAATACTGGAAAGTACAGAGTGAGAGAAAGAAAGAAAGAAAGAAAGAAAGAAAGAAAGAAAGAAAGAAAGAAAGAAAGAAAGAAAGAAAGAAAGAAAGAAAGAGAGAAAGAGAGAAAGAGAGAAAGAGAGAAAGAGAGAGCGCTGTCTTACCTGGCGTGTACCTCTGTGTTCCTGGGTGATCTGTGCAGTCTCCTCTATGTGTTCTGAGTGCTAGGTGCTTTGGGAACTCCTCTCCTATCTTCTCCTCTCCACTCTCCTCCTCTCCACTCCTCCGTCACACACCCTGCCTGAACTTGCTGTCACCGGAGCAAAAAAAAACACCCACACTATCTCTCTGACAATCACAAGCCTGATGGGAGGACTGGTTGACGTACACCCTGACACAAACACAGATCGATAGGGAACACAAGCGATAACCACAGAGCGCCCTCTGGTCAAAAGCAGTGCACTATGTAGGGAATAGGGTGCCATTTGGGACTTCACACACACATAGATACCCCAGTAATGTTGTTAGTTCTGAACAATCATGACAAGCAATCGTACTGAACTGTTGCACGGAACACCCTGAGAAGATGTCTTACAGAATCAAATGTCCTCTTTAGATATAGTACACATAACCAGATTGAGGTATACAAACTGTTAGTACACTGTACTAATTGGTAGTGGTATATATATCTACTCATGTACACATGGTTATCTCAGCACTCAGAACTACATCTGTCACAAGAGACTATTGTACACATAAACAGATTAAGAGGTATAGCAACTAGAAATCCGTTGGTCTGTTGTGAGGGTGAGTTTGGTCTGTTGTGAGGGTCTGTTTGGTCTGTTGTCAGGGTTGGTTTGGTCTGTTGTGAGGGTCTGTTTGGTCTGTTGTCAGGGTTGGTTTGGTCTGTTGTCAGGGTCGGTTTGGTCTGTTGTGAGGGTCAGTTTGGTCTGTTGTCAGGGTTGGTTTGGTCTGTTGTCAGGGTTGGTTTGGTCTGTTGTCTGGGTCTGTTTGGTCTGTTGTGAGGGTATACAGTACAAACGTGTAATTTCATATGAAATAGTTATTTGAATAGTACTCGTGTCGCTCCTTTGGTATCCAGAGGAATGTGGTGTGTGTGTGTGTGTGGGGGGGATGTAAACAAGGGTGGGAGCACTGAGAGAGTGTTGCTTCATCCCTTTGTCTCTACCATATCTACCACACACACACGAGGAAGCATGGTCTTCCTCTGTTAGGATGTGGTGTACCACTGACTGTGATCCAACATGTAGTGTGTGAATCACAGGATAAGACCGTGTGTGTGTGTGTCATCTGATTCATGTCCACTAGGTTGTCCTGATTACTCACCTGACAACGCACCCACACCTCAGGTGAAGTAGAAGAGAGAGAGAGAGCGTTGAAATTCCATATATGGTCATAATCAGGACAACCTCCCACCGGAGTGGGCGGAACAGCTGTCAATCAAAGACCCAGCTGTGAGGTAGTGTTCAGCAGCTATAGGGTTCCGGAACACAGGAAAAGGCTGAGGTTAAGTCACCAGTTACCGTTTGTGTCCCAAATAGCACCCTATTCCCTATATAGTGCACTACTTTTGACCAAAGCCCTATAGACCCATTGTAGCTCCCATGTGTTGTTTTGGCTCTGTACTCCTGCACTTTGGATTTTAAATGATACAATGACTATGAGGATAAGGTGCAGATTGTCAGCTTTAATTTGAGGGTATTTTAGTCGTTATCGGGTGAACCGTTTAGAAATTACAGCACTTTTTGTACATAGTCCCCCCCATGAGGGAACCAAAAGTATTGGGACAAAGTATTTTTTAACATTGCAAATAGATTGCGGCTTCCATCAATGTAATTGTCTGCATCATTTCCAATCCCCCATATATATTTTTTAGAAAAATATATATTATTTTAAATATATATATATATATATATATATACAGTGGGGAGAACAAGTATTTGATACACTGCCGAGCATGTAGAGGTCTGTAATGTTTATCATAGGTACACTTCAACTGTGAGAGACGGAATCTAAAACAAAAATCCAGAAAATCACATTGTATGATTTTTAAGTAATTAATTAGCATTTTATTGCATGACATAAGTATTTGATACATCAGAAAAGTAGAACTTAATATCTGGTACAGAAACCTTTGTTTGCAATTACAGAGATCATACGTTTCCTGTAGGTCTTGACCAGGTTTGCACACACTGCAGCAGGGATTTTGGCCCACTCCTCCATACAGACCTTCTCCAGATCCTTCAGGTTTTGGGGCTGTCGCTGTCACTGTCGCTGGTTAATACGGACTTTCAGCTCCCTCCAAAGATTTTCTATTGCGTTCAGGTCTGGAGACTGGCTAGGCCACTCCAGGACCTTGAGATGCTTCTTACGGAGCCACTCCTTAGTTGCCCTGGCTGTGTGCTTCGGGTCGTTGTCATGCTGGAAGACCCAGCCACGACCCATCTTCAATGCTCTTACTGAGGGAAGGAGGTTGTTGGCCAAGATCTCGCGATACATGGCCCCATCCATCCTCCCCTCAATACGGTGCAGTCGTCCTGTCCCCTTTGCAGAAAAGCATCCCCAAAGAATGATGTTTCCACCTCCATGCTTCACGGTTGGGATGGTGTTCTTGGGGTTGTACTCATCCTTCTTCTTCCTCCAAACACGGCGAGTGGAGTTTAGACCAAAAAGCTATATTTTTGTCTCATCAGACCACATGACCTTCTCCCATTCCTCCTCTGGATCATCCAGATGGTCATTGGCAAACTTCAGATGGGCCTGGACATGCGCTGGCTTGAGCAGGGGGACCTTGTGTGCGCTGCAGGATTTTAATCCATGACGGCGTAATGTGTTACTAATGGTTTTCTTTGAGACTGTGGTCCCAGCTCTCTTCAGGTCATTGACCAGGTCCTACCATGTAGTTCTGGGCTGATCCCTCACCTTCCTCATGATTATTGATGCCCCACGAGGTGAGATCTTGCATGGAGCCCCAGACCGAGGGTGATTGACCGTCATCTTGAACTTCTTCCATTTTCTAATAATTGCGCCAACAGTTGTTGCCTTCTCACCAAGCTGCTTGCCTATTGTCCTGTAGCCCATCCCAGCCTTGTGCAGGTCTACAATTTTATCCCTGATGTCCTTACACAGCTCTCTGGTTTTGGCCATTGTGGGGAGGTTGGAGTCTGTTTGATTGAGTGTGTGGACAGGTGTTTTTTATACAGGTAACGAGTTCAAACAGGTGCAGTTAATACAGGTAATGAGTGGAGAACAGGAGGGCTTCTTGAAATAAAATGAACAGGTCTGTGAGAGCCGGAATTCTTACTGGTTGGTAGGTGATCAAATACTTACAGTGGGGAAAAAAAGTATTTAGTCAGCCACCAATTGTGCAAGTTCTCCCACTTAAAAAGATGAGAGAGGCCTGTAATTTTCATCATAGGTACATGTCAACTATGACAGACAAAATAAGAACAAAAAATTCCAGAAAATCACATTGTAGGATTTTTTATGAATGTATATGCAAATTATGGTGGAAAATAAGTATTTGGTCAATAACAAAAGTTTCTCAATACTTTGTTATATACCCTTTGTTGGCAATGACACAGGTCAAACATTTTCTGTAAGTCTTGACAAGGTTTTCACACACTGTTGCTGGTATTTTGGCCCATTCCTCCATGCAGATCTCCTCTAGAGCAGTGATGTTTTGGGGCTGTCGCTGGGCAACACGGACTTTCAACTCCCTCCAAAGATGTTCTATGGGGTTGAGATCTGGAGACTGGCTAGGGCACTCCAGGACCTTGAAATGCTTCTTACGAAGCCACTCCTTCATTGCCCAGGCGGTGTGTTTGGGATCATTTTCATGCTGAAAGACCCAGCCACGTTTCATCTTCAATGCCCTTGCTGATGGAAGGAGGTTTTCACTCAAAATCTCAC